AAGGCATTAGAATCACTTTGGCTTGTAATATAAGTGTTTTTGAGGTCTCTCACATGTTAAATTCAACCACCATATGTGCTAGATGTTAAGCCTTTCAAGACATTGAAAGAGATCATTTTCAGAAATAGTCAAAAAAAATATTCATATTTTGGAATATTATTATGCAAATGGAGACATTGTTAAGTGTTGGCCCAATTTAGAGTTACCAAGTACATCTTTTTTATTGGAGCAATTACATACAAACCACACGAAACTTCCTATTTCCAAATCAACCATCACCTTTCATCCATTTTTCAAATTCTCACTCAAATATTAAAATTCATGGTAAAAACCTAACCCATATTTCTCATTTTTATCAAATTTTTAATATTTTAATTCTGACACACATAAATACATCGATTTGGTAGTTAAAAAAAATCACCTGGGTGATTAATTTGAAAATATCAATGTTTCAGGTGATCCGTATGTAATTATCGCTTTTTTATTTTATTTGAATAGACTGTATAATTTGAATGTTAACTAAAATTTATTGAAAATAATACCTCAATTAACTAGCAACAAGCCATGAGACTCTCATAGCTTGTTGCTAGTTAATTGTAATTGTAAGACATCCATACAACCTACTATTATTTCTTGTGACATGACCATACACACATTTGACCATATTTTTATATTAAATTTGCTATTTTTGATTCATATAATTTTCTTATCTTATATTTTGAATTGCTTATACTTTACAATAAGTTCGTATAAGTATATTAATTATTTAGAAAAAAATAATTGGTATAAATTACCAAATGCATAATACAAGTTACATCTAATGTATTTACATGTCTCACATCTAAACTTTTATATTTACACACATATCATTTTGATACATTAAACCTATGCATGAAATGAGAATAAAGATTTGAGTGCTATTTGTATAAATATGAAAGTTTATGTGTGCGGTAAATACATACATACATACATATGTATTTGTATACATACATATATATATGTATGTGTAGACATACCTATATATGTATGTGTATACATACATATATATGTATGTGTATACATACCTATATATGTATGTATACATACATATATATGTATGTGTACATACATATATATACTGTATGTATACATACATATATGTATGTATACATACATATATGTAGGGTTTAGGGTATATATATAACTAACCAACCGCACTTTCGAATAAGCTGCTGAAACATGTTTTCTAAACGGTGAGACGACGTTTTGAAAATGCCGTCAACACTTATGAGTTGCCCCAGACAGACCCTTACTTCTACAACAAATTTGTGAAACACATTAAATATAAATATTAAGGCGACAAAATATATGAATAAATAAAAATGGTGTGGTATGCATATAAATTTCACATTTTTCCAATACCTATTTTTATTTTCTCCTTTTGTTTTTATTTTTATTTTGTTTTTAAATTCATTTGATTGGTATAATTTTTATATATTTATGTTTCTTTTCAAAATAAATCAATTTATTTTTAGAAATATTCAGAATATCTAAAAATATTCCGAGTACTTAAAGAAAGGTTACCTAAATTAAATATATTCTAATTTAAATAAATACATTTGAAAAACAAATAAGGAAATAAAAAAATAAAAAATAAAAAAAGAAAATATAATTGATCCTAAACGCCCTAATTTTTTTAAAAGGAAAGTATTTTAACCCAGGTACTACGACGTTCTTTAACGGCCCCGTCGTCTCTCTTATCTGGTGATCCCAAGCCCTCGTTGGAGCAGTGTCTACTCAATCAGAAGGTTTGGCTTCGCCAGGGAAGGTGAGTATTCTACTCCTATACCTTTCTTGCGCCTCCATGCCAACCTAATCGGAAGCTTTCCTCTGTTCTTCTCCTTCTCGTCCTTCTTCGTCTGTCCTCTGCCCTCGGCTCCCAAGTTCCACTAATCGTGCACTTAACCTGTTCAAGAGCTACGTGGTATGGCGCTAGTGGATACGAGATTTAGGTTTTAGGGCTTTGGGGGTCATTGGTGCGTGTATTTTATACTTTACTTGAATCAAGTTGAAGCTTCAGGATTGATTGCTGTTTGTATGGTCATGCATCCTTATGAGAATTGCATTTGATGGGTACTTCGTGTACATTCATCTTAGTACTCATAGTGTTAAACCCTAGGTTATTGCGTATATGCCGGCAACAGTAGAGGAGACTGGTTAATTTAGGCCTGCCCGGTGCCTATTTGGAGGCTTAGCGATGCTCATTTTATCCGTAGTTTAGGATATATAAGATTCGGCAGAGCACGACGATGTTATATTGCTAATTTGACGGATCACTTGAAATGAAATAGGCAGAGGTAGAACAAAAATGGTAACGACGATGTTATATTGCTAATTTGACGGATCACTTCAAATGAAATAGAAGGCAGAGGTAGAACAAAAATGGTGGTAAAAAGCCTTCATATTAGAGGAAAAAAAGGATTTCCTAGGGTAAGATAAAATAAAAGATTGCACTACAGTTGTTTTCAAAGATACAAACTAATATAAAAATATTGAATAAATATAAAAAACTATGGTACAAATGAATGCTAAATTATAGTGGCCATGCTTATGTTGTTGGCCTTTTCTCATCATTCATCTTGTGTTCTAAGCATGCTTAACTATACATTCAACATTATTGGGATGGCATTTGAAGAAATGATACCTTTCATATCATAATTTTTATTGCATAGATTGATACTATAATATTGTTGTCAAAGTTATATTTAAAAAAAAAAGATATTATTCAGGCAAGGGTAAGAATTACTCTGGTGCCTTGTCATTGGCAAGATGTTTGGGTTCAACATGTTGTTGTTTTGACTATTTTGTTAACTGTAGAAGTTGAGTCGAAAGAGGCAAACTTACTACATATGCAACACGGTTGTGATTTTCACATCTAATTATTTTTAATATGCAAACATTTACGATGATTGAGATAGTTAGTTTTTCACTTGTGAACAAATTGGAAGTATTTTACTTTTTGAGAGTTTAAAAATTTGCTTATAACTATACACCCCACAAATAAACATGAATTTTAACATAATCAATGCCCTTTGTGGTTAAACTTTGTTGACATCTTGCCACTTGACAAAGATATTATGGAACTTTGATTTTCTTTGCTCTTTTTGTTGGTTTGAGGGAAGGAGAAGAGCGAGATCCCAAGTGTTTGAGAAGGAATTACTTATAGAGCTGGGCCAAGAGAGGAAGGAGAGTGGGTCTGAAAGGTAGGGGAGAGAGGGGTTGAGAGAGAAGCTAGTGTTTATAGAGAACAATCATTCTAGTTTTAAATAATTAAAGCATATTTCAAAATGCATTTCTAAGGCATTCTTTTTATAGATGATGATTCTGTTACTTGAGGTTAGTGCATCAAAGTATTAAAAGTAGAACCATCTTGTTTTTATTAAATTACACATCACAAATTAACATGAATCAATGGAAATAAACTGGAGAGCTTTTAATGATCTGTTAAGTGAAGGATCATTGATTTGTGATCATATTGCATTATTTCTCTATAAGCAAGATAAATCTTTTCTAAAAAGTTAAAGGACATGTTCATGATCGATGTGGATGCGGAACAACTTGTTTATAGGTCTAGAGCTTCAGAATGAGCTTTATAGTTCGTTAAAAGGCTTTAGCTGAGGATGCCATCATATATCACACTTGCATTAGCATACGGTAGATAATAGGCAATAACAATGGCAGAATGAGGTCAGTGCAATCATCATGTGGCTATGACATCAATTGAATATCCAAGAAAATGCATTTAACGGTTATTTGTTTCTCACTCAAGGTCAATAGACTCAAGCTTGAGCATGTATTAGATCTCATGTTCAAACAATTCTTAGTCATCATCAAGATTAAAACACTCATCAACTTATAAGCTTATCAACATACCATAAAGAACTATTCTCATTAAAGCAAGTGGTCACACAATTATGACATATGATCAAACCAAGTTGGAAGCGCTTGTGCTACTAATGGCATAGATGTAACATATGGATTTATTTTAGTCAAAATCTATTGCATATGATTCTTAGTTTTTGTGTTGATGCTAGGATATGGGATTAGGTTAAATTGAACATTGGTAATCATATGTACCTTGAAGTATTTTGATTTCATGTGAACTAGGATGCTTACATGATAATGAACATCAAATTTATTTCAGTCAAAATCTGCTCCATATGACAAGCGCTTCTCTCATTCTTAGTTTTTGTGCTGATGCTAGGATATGGGATTAGGTTAAATTGAACATACCTCGAAATTTTTTGATTTCACGTGAACTAGGATGCTTACATGATAATGAACATCTATGTTCACCATAGTACTCGAAATTTTTTGATTTCACGTGAACTAGGATGCTGACATGATAATGAACATCTATGTTCACCATAGTAGTCATATTTTGATTGTCTTTGATTATGTGATTTCATAGTTAATTTTATAGAACTTATGCAAGAGATTCAATTTATTGGTTGATCGTGGTTAGGCTATTTCTATAGTAGTAGTTTGAATCATTTTGCAGTATTTGCCTATTATTAATAGGTGATGGTTCTTATTGATGAGATGTGGGAATTAAACTTACCTTTTTGGATTGAGACAACAGGAAATTAAAGCATACAAAATTAGAATTTATGAATAGAGAAAGGCATGTAATTGCAACAACTACAATGGGTTTTAACATGCAATATTATATTTCTTGCAAGGATTTTCTTGCACAATAGTAGGAAGACTTGGAGCTGTTGGAATAACGGTTTATGCATGTTTTTGGTGGGCTGATTACTAACGTTTTGAAGAAGTTAGAGATGTGCTATTTTTTGTCATGCCACATTGGTAACTAGGCTCTGGTATTATGAAAAATCTATCAGATGTATTCTATAACAACAAGGGATTTGAATGTTAATTGGAATCAATGTTCCATGGTTGGGAAATAATGAGTTGTTTGCTATTGTGGAATGCAAAAGTATGTGATAGATTAAATGAAGATTAATATGATAGCTTTTTTTGGGAATAAATTAAGGGAGATATGAGCATTGGTTTGTAGCAAATACAAAAAAAATTAAATGATAAATGCATATTGGATATTATGAACTATTGAAGATGCTAGAAGGAAATGGAGCTAAGTGGAGATATGTTACTAGGGAATATTGGAGACATGAGAAGGAAATGTAGGCAATATGTTGTGGAATAAAGGTATCATGAAAGGTTTGGAATAGGTACTCAGGAAAGATTATGCTATGGTTATGTTGGAATGGTTTGATTTATATGTTTTAAAAATATTTTATCTATTAAGTTATGCAAACATTAGCAATTTGCAACCTAGAAAAATTTTTCTTAAGATTTAATGGAAAGAGATTTATGGGAATTAGGAAGGATATTTGAAAGCAATCTTTTCGAAGCGGGAGAAGAGGGATTAAATGTTGGTGTTGGTTGTTTATTTATATGGCCAGGGTTTTGGTGCAAAAGGTTGAGAGACTCTTGTTGCAGGGATTTTCTTGGGTTACTTGTGGCTAGAAGGTCTTTAGTTCAAAAGAAGAGAATTATTATGAGGTGAAATGTTGATGGAAGTGGCAGTGTGATGAAGAAATAATAAAATAATATGATTGGGATGCAAAAAAGACAACATTGTTATGTTCATGCAAAAACATAATAACATTGAGAGTAAACAAGAACACAGTGGAACATATGCTTAAAGTATTGATTTTTAGTAAAGGCAACAATGTAGAGGGGTGGTGGTGAAATATTGGAAGATGAGGGATAAGAGATTTGGCCAAAGTACCTTTGCCATAGAATACATTGTGGGTGATTGTAGGCTTCTTGGAATGTATTTCATAGCTTTGATAGCATCTCACGAAAGTGACCTAGTATTTGAGCTTAAACCTTTTTTTGTTATTGCCATTGAGTTCAAAACAATGAGAAGAGAGAGATTGAGAGGCAGAAATAGAATTGCTTATAGGGAGAGGATGAAAGTGAATTGATAGCAAGGAGAAGCTGATATTTGGAAAGAGGAACTATAATTTGTGATGAGAAGAGAGAGATTGAGATTTAGAAGTAAAATGACTTAGAGGGAGGATAAAAGAGAAAGGATATAGGGAGCTCGAGATTAGAGAGAAACTAATGTTTACAGAAAGCAACTATCATTTTTTTATTCAATAATCAAAACATATTTATAGAACGTAATCCTAAGATCTTAAAGTAGAAGAGGGTTATTTTGCATAAATGATTAAAGTGTTTACATAAATTGAATTATTATTATTTCTTTTATTGCATGTCAATAAAATTGATATAAAATTACGCAATCTTATCATGAAATTGATAAACATTTGGTCATATTCTAAAATATGCACTTTGCTCTTTTCCTTTTCTTTTGTTGCACCATATTTGTCACTAGTGCTTTATTGATATGCTATTATTCCTATGAAGTAATATTCTTCTTCTTGGGCTTCCTTTTTTTCTACCCATATATACATGCTATTGTTGTTGTTGTAGTGGAAATGGAAAAATACCTTCAGTATTGAAGCAAGTTGCACCACAAAGTAACACAATGGATTAAACAATAGCTAATATGAGATGACGAGATTTACTTAGTTCAGTTGTAACAATTGCTATGCCTATGAAAGTGGAGAAAATTAGCGAAAATAATGTATGATAAGTAACAGTTACTAGTCTATCAATCCAATTTCACATGCTTAATCATTAAGAATCCCAAGAAACTCATAAATAAACTTACTTCACAGTACAATATTGATCTCCAAGATGATTATGTCTAGCTGATACATGTATCAAGACACCACTCAAATTTCCACGCATGTATAAAACACTTGGATTGAGGCAAGCATATTGTGGTATTGTTTGCTTCATCTCTATACAACTTATTTAAGGTAAGCATATTGGGGTATTCTAGGTAACAGATTTTATATACAACTTTGTTGTATCCTCTGCAATACATGTAACACTAAATTTTATAGCATCAGTTTTAACAATTCCTTCTTTGACTTAA